GGGTGGTGTCTAGAAATATCACGTAATTTTTTTCCACAACAAACACACTAATCCTCCATCTGCATTTGTGAACACAGGCCCAGTTTTTAGATCCGCACTTAAATATTAACAAAATGTTAAAAATTGTATTAAAAGTAAAAAACTGGGCCTAAATTGTTTTGTTTTATCATTTCAGTTAATTTTTTACACAGGTCGTGTTTTTTATAAAATCTAATATTTTCGAAGCATGGATTATCTCACTTACATTGCAAATAGGCATTTTGGACAATCTCACGTGAGATTAGGGGGTGGGGGAGGGGGTCTGGCAAAATCTCATGAAATCACATCAAGGGGGGCGGGGGGGTTAAACAATAGCCAAAATTTCACGTAATTAATGGATGCCCCCTAAACGGTTTAAATATCGGGCAGTGTGTTCAAATTACAAATGTTCATTACAGGTGTGGGTGGTGAGAACATAAATGACATTAGCCACCGCAGCGGCGCGCGTGTTAAGATCGACGGACCGAACTTGGGCGACCGCGCCACGCAGCGGCAAGTGTCTATTAAAGGCACCAAGGAACAAATCGAAGTCGCCAAAGGACTCATCGAGAAATGCGTGTGTTTTATTTTTGTTTTTTTTTTCCTTATGGCTTCGTGCGATTTGCACATTTAACCAATGGCGACAAAAATATATTCAAGTAGGTAATCACATGGAACACGGAAGTGCACGAGAACCTAGAAATCCCAACAGTCAAGAGGGAAATAGAAAGTTCCTCTGTCTCCTACAAGCAACGCCTTGAGCGACATAGCAACCATCTGGCTCATGATTGCAGATGTATAAAAAAAGTAGGTAATCATCATCATCATTATCATCTCGTTTAGTTGAACACAACCCTCTCCAATTATTTACAGTTTGTCAAAATATTTTTGCTGTGGATTATGGTATTCATAACTCATCATATACATCATAATATTTTCGAGTTATTTGGAGACTGTTATCTTTCTTAAAGTAAACATATCATATTCTGAATCAATGCCAATTTTCACTCAATTAATTTATCCTGGACTAGGCGGAGCAGATTTTCGTTTAATTAGAATTCATTTGACTGGCTGGAGTCTGAATCTATTTTGAAATCAACATCTGCCAGCAAATTTGAATACGATTTTGTACCGAAGTCTCCCTTATTACAAGTGAATAAGGTTCTAATTGATTCTACTCTTACATTATTTACCTTCATGTGACGTCCAAACTAATTAGAATTTAATGAAGCATAGAAGCATAGTCTCTATACCCTTTTTATTTCTGTGGTACCAAACGGACATGAATGGTACATCAAGCTATACCATTTGGTATCGTGCTATTTGCATATGAAAATATGTCTGATGTATTGTTATTGGTGGTTTTATCAATTTGTGCTTCTTTCCTCTCTATGGATCAAACCAAAGACTTCCGAATCGAGGGAGTCGCAACTCCAACTTACTACGTCTCGTACAATAACGTCTAATAATCTTATCCAACCACATATTTTTTAACTAAAATAGAAAGAAACGGGTTTTAACGCGACATTTATGCTTTCGACTGCTAAGCTGCAGGTGGTCACAAGCAGACTGAAACGTCAAGCCGTGAGTACATTAATGTAACTCATTCATAAATGTCGCGTTAAAGTGTCTTTCTATATTAGTTGAAATAGAACACGAAAGTGTCGTAAATCCTTACCGATTTCCCGCCTTTTGTATTTATCTGTGCACTAATATTACTATTTATGTATGTTTGTCTAGACAATATTATGCAGCTTACTATTTTATTTATTATATCAATGGCCCGTGACCCTCACTCGGCATGGGGCACACTGAAAACCAGCGCCGTGGCCTTCGTCACCGTGGGCCACGGCATATGCTGAGTGCGGTCCCGTTGCAGTGGGCATCTTGTTGGTGAATGGGTGGCACTGCTCAGTTTACTCTTGTTTTTATTTTTTCTTCTTCCATTATTATGTGCCACTGTCATGTCTATGTAATTGCCTGTATTTGTGTGATGTCCATTGTAATAAATGTATCTTTCTTTCTTAAAATATTAGATCAACCACATTTGTTTCTTCTAACACGTGAAATCGTCCGTCCATCAGGTAGCCCAAGAGAAGTGCCGCCGCGAGATCGAGCAGTCGAAGCGAAGCCCGCGGCACGGTACTCCCGCGCCCGAAACGCCCGATGACGCGCCAGGTGACACCAAGCATGCCAAGTATAAGCGGCCTGGTAAGACTTGCTAACCGCATGCTGTGCTGTGTCTCAATGCCCACACACTACGGCTTATAGACTAGCTGTGACCGCGACTTCGTACGCGTCAAAATAGTTAAAATACTGTTTCCCGTTTTTGCAACATTTTTCTTTACTGCTCCGCCCCTATTGGCTGTAGAGGGTGATATTATAGCGCCTAAAGTCTTTCTCGATAAATGTGCTATCTAACACTGAAAGATTTTTCATATCGGACCAGTAGTTCCTCAGATTAGCGTGTTCAAGTAAACATATAACCTCTTCAGCTTTATAATATTAGTATAGATAGATATTGTACACCACACAAGACAAGATAAGAAAGAAATAAATAGTTACATCTAAAATAAATTCTTGTGCAATGTTTGTGACAAAACTCCTTGAACGGTAGGCTATCAAAAAACTACTCGCCCTTTGTTGTATTTATGGTCCTTATGTAGATAAGCTATTACTTTTACGTTAAACATTTTTACAGTATATTGACAAATGAGTTTCTAAAGTTAGACTGAAATGTAAGCCATAGCGTGTGGGCACAATTATAAAAAATAGGGTTGTCAAATTCAATAAATCAAATCACAAATCATTGTGCACAAATCATTGTGAATTTTCGATTCGATTCATTTACGTAACGAGATTTCAAATTATTTCGAATGACTAATACTCTTTGGTCATACTAATGCAGCGGTATGTAAACTTAATATTTATTTATTGAATCAGACAACCCTATAAATGTTATGCTGTCCATATAAAGCTACAAAAAATCATATTTGTCATGAAGCCACTATAAAAATATCACCAAACCTATACAAGTATGTTCTTGACCTACAGCCACATTATGTTAATGTGTTCAACAAACGTTTCTTCAGATCATAGCGTGCGCCGCTTCAAGGTAAATGCGAAGTAAATACCAACCAAACATGCTCTGAATTTTACACGCTTTATTATGTAAAAGTAAGTTTTAAAAGTGTTGTTTTATCCCACCCACCCACACATAGAGTTGCTATACGCACCATGAAGCTTTGATGCTTGGGTATTATGTTGACATACATTATTTTTGACATGATTTGTCGTCTTGATTGAAAATCCGTCTTTTTTAAATATTTTTGAGTTGAAAAATATCCCTATTTGAATGCCTAAAGGATTTTTTTTACTTTAAAAAACCACATATTATAGTTCTGAAAGCTGGTTTATGAATGTTTATAAAATAAATTGCAACTAAATAAGATGCCACGGTGTTCGGCTACATATTGTGCTATTTGTATATACGTTTGTATGAACTTACAGACGACAGCACGTCAACCTACATCACTGAGGGCTGATTTTACCACTATATAACTTTTAACTGAAGAATAAGTTTGGCACATTGACAGTTTCAGTATGGGAAACATGTCAAAATTACAAGTTTATTATTCAGTTAAAAGTTATCCGACGATGGTAAAATCAGCCCTGAGGCATCTTACTACACTTAGTCTTGTGATAAAAGCGATTTCATAGATAAGATTTGAAAAACCCAAGGCTTTCAAAATATATCCCTACCATCTATGTTGTTTTTTGTCATTTAATATTTGTTGTTTTGAGTGCTGTCCTCCCCTACTGAGTATACATTATATTTATTGTTTTATTTTTACACTTAAGTATATGTAAAAATATTTTGATGGATGTTGTATCGTCGGTTATATGGAAAAATGTGTGTTTGTGAGAGGTGAAGGGTGTTGTTTCGTGTTTTTGGTGTGCATATTGGTAGAAGTTGTTTGTTATGTCGGGGATTTGGTTATGGAAAGAGTTTTAGAATATTAGAAATGGTTATTTCCTTAAAGAACTATTTACCCAAGAATCTAGCCTTACATACATATTATTATCAAAAAACTTATTTTGTTTACATCCCAGAGTGAAGCACAATCAGGAATAAGTTTCATCCCTTTTGAACTGAGTTAGGATTGTCCCTATTAAACCGGGTTTACACAAAGTACCGAATTCTCTCTTTTCTCTTTCAAAACATGGATTGCGACATGAAAACGATGTTTGCAATTTACTCAGGCATTGCTTAGATCAGTTGCCAAAATCTCTGTGGTAAGATCATAATCAAAGTTTCCCTTGCTTAAGGCAGTTGATAGTCCAAAAACATAAATCAGAATTCTAAATGCGAAAATCTTAACTTAAACTTCAATCCCTCAGCGGAAGCAAGCGGCGCATCCATCGAGGTATACGTGTCAGCCGTGTCGTCACCGTCGCGCTTCTGGGTGCAGTTCGTGGGCGCACAAGTGTCGCAGCTCGACGAGCTCGTGGCGCACATGACTGACTACTACGGCAGCCGCGAGAACCGCCAGGCGCATGAGGTTGGGATTGTTTTAACGCGGTCATCTAACGGGGAGGAAAGCGGGATTTGAATAAGTTGTGTAAAACGCAAATTCAAAGGTGACACCTGTCTGGCTTAGTGGTTCGCGTACCAGACTCCTATGTTAGGGGTCGCAGATTCAATCCCCGTACAATGCTAATATTTTATGGATGAATATTCGCTGTAACTTGGTATGACTTCTTCTGTGACCGTATTTCCTGCTCAAGTAAAACGCAAGTTGTTCTGTTTATTTTAACATTCGTTGTAGAGATAAATACTGTAACGTTAAGATCATTGTAATATAATTAATTCAGTGTCTCATTTGTTCTTTTAGGCTAAGTTGCATCATCTTACTTTGACTTTAACAAACGTCAAAAATCTGACAAACTCCATACAAAAAGCTGCCGCCCTAGACAAAACGCACTTTTTGATCGAATCGAAAATCGAATCCGTCAAAACTCCATACAAAAGGGGCTTTTCGACCACTTTTCGACTGGTTTGCGATTATAATTTGCACTTTGTCTAGACCCACTGTTAAAGTTACGGTGAAAGTAAGTTGGTGCAACTTAGCCTTAGAAATGTTCCTTAGGCCCAGAACAGACGGTGAAACGCAACTGCAACGAAACTGCAACTTTGTGATGATTCTGATGAATGAAACTGAAACTGAAAGTTTCAAACTGGTCGCGTCATGTGTGGTCTCTCAACGGACGCTATGGCAGAAACTTAGATGCAGCTCAAAAGTAACTAGCAGTTGCAGTTTCGTTGTAGTTGCGTTTCACCCTCTGTTCTGGGCCTAAGCCTAACCACAGAATAAGTAATAGTACAGGTACAGAAGGATTACTCCGCAAGACGATATAAATAAATGCGAGTCTTGCTACGACGCGATACAGTGGAATTCAGCTCGCACAGCACTACGTACCTACAATTTTATTCACCTACAAGTTTTGTATCTTTCTATCGCGTGCCTCTGAACTCTTCTTACACTGTTAGGGTTGCTGTCTAGTGAAAAAAAAATTAATCTACTTATTTGTAATGAGGTACGTATGTAGGTAAGTATGCATTCATTATGGAAAACCTTGGGAGAGGCCTTTGTCCAGCAGTGGACGTCATTTGGCTGAAACGAACGAACGCATTCTGAGCAGTAGTCATAGTAGGTTAGGTTCCTATATTATCCTAAGAATTATTGATTACCTACATGGCCAACATACCTTTCAGCATCTTTGGGAAGCGAAAAAAAAAAGATAAATCCGGTAGATTTCTTTTCGAATTTAAACACCCGAACGCCGCACAATATTTCTTTCTCTTTATGTTCATTTTTAAATAATACTTCGATCATAGAATTATAATCATACTACAACGCACGCCAGCGTCCTGACGGGCGCGCGCGTGACACTCGACTGATATAATACCCGCCGGCGGGGCGCTTCGCTGTAGGTAATTATCGGATGTACCGCGCGGAGTGAGCCAGGCCTGGTATAACTTCGCAAAGATGTTGACAAGGATGTTTATTTACTTACTTCTATTCCAGTTATCTCAAGTGAGCGTGGGGCAGGTGGTGGCGGCGGTGTTCCGGCACGACGGGCGCTGGTACCGCGCGCGCGTGCACGCCATCCTGCCCAACGAGTTTGACGCCACCAAGCAGGTCAGTTGTTATAGCCTGACCAGGAACATAAAAACCCTCGCCATGTTGCGGAAAATTAATGGTATAGTTCCAAAATACTGGACTGTCCTGTCGATGACATTGACAGCGGGGCGCCACCGTCAATACCGAATCGCTGGTTCCGATTTTTGCCATGTTGGAAACCATATAGTTGAACGATGGTAGCGCCCCCCTGTCATTGAGTTTGGCGGGACAGTTCAGCGTGGGTCATCTATACTAATTTCTTTTAATGGCAACAGTAACTGAAAACTTCATTGACATGTCACCTTACATGTCAGTCTATTGTTGTCAAAGTGTAAACAAACTTTATAATAAATGTGCGCAATTGATTTTGTGAATTAAATTGCTAAAATATTTTTATATTCGTGAAAGAAAAGTGGTTCACAATGTGTTAAAGTATTTGTCGAAGAGAAATACTAAGGGTTCGGACAATATTTTCATTGAATAATGTTTCCGACAAAGGTTGTCAAATTGACTGACATGTTTATCGTATAGTACGAATAAAATATGAAAATAATACTACTATGAAAATTAGCTGTGGTTTGTTTCAACTACCTATTTTAAAGTTTTTTGTCACTTTGTAAGTGTTGAATTTTATGGAATTGGGAAAGAAGTACCGAGTTTGAAGCGTTCATGAGCAGACATTGTAGTTGAATATTCAAGTTTAGAATTTGATTATTGATGAATAATAATAAAATCCTACTTGCTCGATCGATGGTTTCATTTAATTTATTTAAACCAGTTTACCTGTTTTATAATATTTTTTGTTACTTTATGAAAATATTAAATTAGCCCATAATCCTGAATCCTGATACATAAAGTTAGCCTATTAATTTAATACAGGTACGACTGTACCCAGTGTTGCACTATCAAATGCAATTGACGCGCCTCTATGCCAGGGTTTTTATGTTCCTGCAGTCGTATTACAACCTTTTATAAATCCAGTTTGTTTCCAGGCAATTCAGTTTACGGCCAAAAACTGCCTTGTTCTTTTTCGTATTACGACGTCCGTTAATCTGAATGGGATCATCCTGGATAGATTGTCTATGGCCGGTTTACACTGCCGTGAAGGTAACGTTCGGAAATTGACATAACGCGATACCGGTTCGTTACCGATTCAATAATTTTGTGAATTTAAATATTTTTTCGTATAAAACAAGTGTAAATATATAAGTGTAATTGAAGAAACATACAATGAAATTGAAATTATATAACATTTGTTATAAATCATGACCAATCTTAAAAAAAGAAAATTATGACGGCTGCTCTTTTTCTGTAGCCCTTTATTTCTGAACGACAAGTGTGACATTTCGCTGAGCCCGCAAAAAAAACTTTATTTATTCACCACTTGAAAACTGTGTGTGTGAAACCAAAACTTTAAACATTTAAAGTGGAATTTAATTAGTTGCTGAAAGAAAGATTTATGTGATTATGTATTCTTGGGAACGAACTAAGACAGCTATGTTGTGTTGTTGTGGTATTAGTGGATTGCGTTGCATTGGTGTCGGTCTGAAATTGTATTGCTCAAGCAAACTAACTAATTTTATTGGAAATGGCGTAAGTACTTACTTAATTGTGTTTTATTTTGGTGATGTAGGTATCTTAAAACATTATTGGAATCATGTTTTATATCTTAGTTCACAGGATGAGGTATCGCGTCGTCGCCGGGTATCGTACCAGCAGTTAGAATCTTTATGGGAGTTTTTGAACTCTCACAGAGATGTGGCTGTAGGATACAATAAAACGGCGCAGGCTCGAGAGTATTCTAAGCGGATGTGGACAACTGTGTCTCAAACTTTAAACTCTTTGGGAGAAGGAGCTACAAAGGACTGGAAAAGTTGGTCTAATGTGAGTATAAGTACTTACTATTTTAATATTACTTTAATAGACTAAACTTCGTTTTCTTTTAATAATGTAGTTTAATATTTTTACAGTATTGGGTAGACTACAAAGCGAAATTAAAAAGAAGAGTAGCAAGCATCCGTGCTGCTCAAAATCGCACCGGCGGTGGCCCTTCTGAAGCCATTCCCCTAAATGATTTAGAGAAGAAATTCCTAAGTCTACTTGGAGAAGGCTTTGGAAGTGGGATACCTAATACCCAAGTAGACCCGTTTCCAATTGTGAGTATTTTTTCATTTTGAGAATAACTTTATTGACATTGATTATTTATGTTTAGAATTTTGATGAATGTATGAATTAATTTGTTGTGAAATTTTTGTAGCAAACTCAGTCCGAACATACTGCACCTGAGGCTGGAACATCTAACTCAGAAGCTCCTCTAGTTCTTGAACACCCTCTCACCCATGAGAGTGTTCAACTAGAGGGAGAGGAAGAGCTAGCACTGCAAGACTCTGTACTAGAGCAGCCGCAGGTGCAACAGGAAGTGGCCCCACAGCAGCAACAACAGCCTGAGGAAACACGTCCTCGACAAGTGCCAAGACTGCCAAGTCGACGCAGTAGGCGACAAGCTGCTTTGAGCCAACAAATGGCCAGAGAAATGTTGGTTAACATTTCTCGGGACAGAATGTTGGCCGAGCAGCAAAATACTATGTACCTTGGCCAAATCGCAGAAGCACAGGAGAGAAATTCCCAAACATTGCAAGAAATGTTGACAAAATTAAATACAATAGCATCTGTTATTGACAAGTAAGTAAAAATATACCTACTCAAGAATTTTATTTTCATTAAAACTTTATGATACAAAAATTTGCCTTAAAATAATTAATATCTACTTACCTAACAATAATGAACTAAATAAAATTTTCTAAACAGACATAATAATTGTAAAGAAATGCCATTACTTAATCTAAAAATCTTAATTTATAGGAGCATGGGATCGAGAGGACCACAGACGGGAGACGAGGGCTCTCCTGATACTTAGCCCTTCATTGAGCTCCCTGTTATTGCTGGAGGTGGCAGAACGTGGTGGTTGTTGGTGAGTGTCATTGTCAGCTTGCCGAGATATCTCTAATAAAGCCTCTTCATTGGTTAGTACTTGTACAGGGATATTCCTACTATTGCAAATATTGTGTAATATTACACAAGCATTTACAATAAACGCTGCCACAGGAGGAGAATAATGTAATACTCTGTGTACAAGTAAACACCTGAATCTAGCCTTTAGGAGACCAATGGTCCTCTCAACCACATTTCTTGTCCTTACATGCAGATAGGTGTAATGAGCTTCTGGAGTGTCCGGACTAGTATCAGTAATTGGTGTCATCAAGTACCTTCTCAGTGGGTACCCAGAATCACCTAGAAATAATAAAAATATTACATTAACCATCATATTATATTTTGTTGTGTATATAAAATTATTTAACAATGAATACAACATACCAAGTAACCATATAGCTTCATTTCTGCTAATAACCTCCATGTGATCCTTTATGGGATGGTTTGCCCATATAAAAGAATCATGAGTAGCTCCACCAAAACTAGCATCCACACTCATGATTTGCATATCTGCATTACTAATCTAAAATTCAAATTGTTTCAGATTAATACTATGAAAATGAAGACTGAAGAAATTATATTATTGAATTATATTTTCGTTTTTCTGTAATGATTATAATAAATAGTAAACATCTTACCAACTGGACATTTAGTGAGTGATACTGTTTCCTGCAGTAATATCTCTCCTCATTTTCCTCGGGGGAAACAATTGCCACATGAGTGCAATCAATGCATCCCAAAACTCCTGGCATTTGAAACTTATTGGAGAATCTAAAAATAAATTAATTTAGATAAATATAACTTATCAAAAGTTGTTGGTGCAAGAAAATAAATTTGTAGTGTTTTTATTGCTAATAATATTTCTATTACATAATTATAAAGAGTTTAAACTAAAGTTTTATCTTTTAATTTTACCTTTATTAAGGCTGTAAGTTATGTACTCACCGTATCATGATTTCACGCCTTTCCTCAGAAGTTTGAGGAAACTTAATATATTTAGCTTGCATGTGGGGCAAGTTTAGTAAATTGGTGATCTGCTTCAACACCACTGATACAGTTGGTTGTGCGACTGAGTGTGCAGATATATCACCAACGGGGCGTTGGTATGAACCCGTTGCATAGAATGATAATGCAATTAACACCTGCAAGAACGATTTAATTTTGTATTTGAATATTCAATGTACTTGTAGACCATAACCTCAACTTAATAATATAACAAAGAATGACAATTAATTAGGCTTTATTAATAACAACCAAGGGCGTAACATTCATAAAAAAATAAATTACTAACCTTTCTTTCCAGCGACAAATCCGACGCTCTTGAGGGCCCAGCGACATGATGCGGTCTTAGTTCTTCGCATAAATTGATAACTAATTCTTTGCTCAACCTATATCGTTTAATGAAACTTATTTCATCCACATCAAAAGGGTCGCTAAAGTCCCTAAGGCGTCTTCTTTGAAGTTTTGCATCATTGTTTTTTTGTGAAGCATCATTTTCAAGAAATTCAAATATTATCAACTCGTCACTCATACTTATTTCTTATATTCTAGGTGTTTATTAACATTTACCAGTAAAAAAATGCTTTCTAATAGAAAACTTTAATAAAACAAGTCAATTAAAGTTGATCAAAGACGACGTAAACTGAATGGCTTAATTGAAACAAAAATTGACAAATAGTCAAGGCTACAAACGTCAAATTGACCGTCGTAATACGAAAATTCCAGTCAACTTCCAGTCAGAAGTCAGTCAAGTGTCACGTGACCGCTGCCTGGCTGGAATTAAGGGATCATAATACGGAAACGCAAGGCAGTTCAGTTTAAGGCGTAAACTCACTGGATTTAAGAGGTCGTAATAGGCCTGCTGGTCAGGCTATAACTCATTAATAACCTTGTTGCTTTGACTTGAAGTCCAAAATAATAACGCCCGTATTCACAAAGGATACTTGCTTTAGTGAAGCAGCTTCGCTATGCGAAGTCGAATGCATAGCGTTAAATAGAGCTCTGTGATTGGTTCGTGTGTGTCACTCAAGTATTGTCTATGAATAGGTTTTTGGGACCCTGTGCGTCCACTCGCACTGTAAGACCTCATAGTAATGTTTGTGAATACGAGTGTAAGAAATTAATGCCACTAAGTAGGACCGCTTACACTTGTATTTTTGAAGAACTTTGAACCTTATCTCTTTGGTTTAAGGGCCAACATTATAAAAAACATTGCACGGTACATGTGCAATGTTCTTGATGAATTTTTAACCTTATTAGTCAGTAGCGGAAATAATATTAAATTATTTTGAAACCTATTGTACAGACTAAAAGAATAAATAAATATCATCATCGCCATAAAGGTCAAAACATGTTGGCAGCATCCACCCACTACACATAAAAAGATACTAAAGTGAACCTTACGTTGTTCGTCCGTAGGTGGCGGACGTGTTCTTCGTAGACTACGGAGACAGCGAGTATGTGGCCGTGAACGAACTCTGCGAGCTGCGGGCCGATCTACTGCGGCTAAGGTTCCAGGTAAAACTTATTACTTATTATAAACTAGCTGACCCGGCGAACTTTGTTCCGCCTTAATGGCAATAAATAAGCAGACATTTTTTTTATTTCGAACGGGATAAAAAGTATCCTATGTCCTTCTCCTGGCTCTAAACTACCTCCCTGACAATTTTCAGCTAAATCGGTTCAGCCGTTCTTGAGTTATAAGCGAAGTAACTAACACGACTTTCTTTTATATATATAGATATTTGTTTAATAATGTAATGACTATTATTTCAGTCCGGTAGTTCAGCGCAAGACCGTAAAAATGTTTATGAAAGCCCTTCGATAGCATTTGAAACCATTATTTTGTTTCATACACACTGTATGTTGAAACTTTCTAAACTCCCAGACTGCCAGAAGCCTCCTTGTCCAATAGCTGGGTACGCCCATGTATACTATGACATTGACTATAGTCTGGTCCGGGAGCACGTAGAATTTTGTCCAATGACCCCAAGCTACCCATCCTTAATCGCTCGCGCGTAATTATGTTGCTGTCGCGCTCGCACACTCACTGCGGGCGCGCGTCCCACAGTCGCGACAGCAATATAATTACGCGCGAGCGATAAGGATGGGTAGCTTGGGGTCATTGGACAAAATTCTATGTGCTCCCGGACCAGACTATAACCAAGTTTACAAAACTGCTACACTACCTGTTGGCTACAGTTTTCTAAACTCTGATTGTTAAATAACGTTTCCACCAAAAAATCATTAAATTACAGGAGCTATAAAATGTAAATCTGTGGCAACTTAGCTGTTAGGCCCGGTTTCCACCGAAGCCGAGCGGAGAAGTGTCGGGCCGTCAAATTTTTCTATAGAATTTGACAGCGGTGGCGGCGCGGTGCGGAACGTGGAAATAATGAAATCTAATCGGTTAATAACATCCTTCTTTGCTCCGCTCCGCTTTGGAGGAAAACGGGCCTTAAAAATTTTAACATAATTCGCAGGCGATGGAGTGCTTCCTAGCGGGTGTGAAACCAGCAGGCAAGGAGGCTGACGTGGTGGGCGTGACTGCCGCCGGCGCCACCTGGGACAAGTGGCACCCGCAGGCCATCGAGCGCTTCGAAGAGCTCACGCAGGTACTAGCGACTAGTCGCACTAGTCACGGCACTAGTCGCACTAGTCANAGGAGCTCACGCAGGTACTAGTTACTAGTTGTACTAGTCACGGCACTAGTCGCACTACAGTCTAGCGGGCAAGGAGCCGACGTGTGGGCGTGACGCCGCCGGCGCCACCTGGGACAAGTGGCACCCGCAGGCCATCGAGCGCTTCGAGGAGCTCACGCAGGTACTGGCGACTAGTGGCACTAGTCACGGCACTAGTCGCACTACAGTCTAGCGGGCAAGGAGGCGACGTGGTGCGAGGAGCTCACGCAGGTACTAGCGACTAGTGGCACTAGTCACGGAACTGTAGATCTAGCGCGCTTAACTCAGCCAGTCCCTGAGGTATGGGAGCGTACGCGCCACTAGTTGCACTATTCACAAAATTATACAGGGTGGAAACGATAAGTGATCTCAATCGATTATTTCCAAACTACACAAGATGTCGAAAAACTGGTTACTGATCCTGAAAGTGCTTCACGAGCTCTTTCTACCGGTATCAGTAATTGGTTACAGAATTAACTGGATCTCTCCGAAAATTCAATGTTTTCAGCCTCCATACTAAATGTATGCCAGCCACAGAATATTAAGTGTTATTTTTTTTAATTACATAATAAACACTTAAAATGAACTCGTGAATTGCATTCTTATTTCAAATTATTAATGGAAAACATTGGTTCTAAGCTTTACTTGCTATAATATTATCAAGACATGAGTGCCATGACTGTGGCGGTACTAAATGTATGGAAGTTGGAAACATTGAAATTTCGGATAGATCCAGTTTATTTTGTAACTTATTATTGGTATTGTTGGATAGAGCTCGTAAAGCACTTTCAGGATCAGTAACTAGTGTTTGGATATCTTGTATGGTTTTTAATATTAAGTGGTTTTACTAAATGTATGGAAGCTGGAAATATTGAATTTTCGGTTAAATCCAATTTATTTTGAAAACTATTATTGGTACCGTTGGATAGAGCTAATGAAGCACTTTCAGATTCAGTAACCAGTTTTTGGATATCTTGTATAGTTTAGAAATAATCGAGTGAGATCACTTATCGTTTCCACCCTGTAGATCTATGGGTGCTTTTGATATTTATAACGTGACAAAGCATACAAATCGGAAGTCTCGCAGACCTTGACGTAGTAACAAAACCTTAGGCACTGACTGATTTAAACGCTAGAAGTATATTAGTCGCACCAATTATCCGACTTACCCAACCAAAGTGACCACCACTAGTCACTCTAATACAAGAAATCCACTACTAGTTGCACTATTGCACCAACTCAAATACTTGCCACTAGTTGCACTAGTTAGATCCATTATCGCCGCATAACATAACATTATTCGCCGTTATTTTATAGTTGCATGCTAAAGTTTATTGGTGAAATCAATGCTATTTTTTATTGTTTATTGCAACCCAGGAGAAGAAAATAAGGGTAAGAATGCACCATTTTCTTAGTAAACTACATACATCAGTCTACAACATTTTACATACCAATGCATAAGTAACTAGTTGCACTACCCAACTCAATGCATGCCACTAGTAGCATTAGTAAGACTAATTAATCGCTGCATATGACTTAAGCCTGGTCGAAGAAAAGAATTTCGTCCAATGACCCCAATCTACCCATCCTTATCGCTCGCGCGTAATTATATTGCTGTCGTGACTGTGCGCCGGGCGGCCGCAGTGAGTGTGCGAGCTCGATAGCAACATAATTACGCGCGAGCGATAAGGATGGGTAGCTTGGGGTCATTGGACGAAATTCTACGTGCTCGGCGACCGGACTATAGTTGACTAGCGCCATAAATAGCGTGACTAGTTCTAGCAGGCATACGGAATAAAATATAACAATAACAACTTGAATTTCATTGACCATAATTGATTTATGTAACCAGGTGGCGCGATGGAAATCCTTGGTGTCTCGAACGTGTACTTACAAGAAGACTGCCACAGCTGAAGGAGAGAAAGAGAAGGAGATACCTGGGATCAAGCTTTATGACGTCACTGATGGTAAGTTATTTCATTTCACTTTTAGTAGTAGAAAGTTTAGATCCTGAAAAGATGGGAATAATTATTATTTATAGTGCAGTTCTTGATTTATTTATAAGCTGTAGTTTCTAGTTGTACTTGACTTGTTTTAGTCTTTAAGCTGTAGGAGTTTCAGTGGTGTAATAATAGTCTCGTAAATTATTGGACCTAAAATGAAAAGTGGGAATAGTCCCGTAAATTGTTGAATCTAAGGCCCAGAACAGACGGTGAAACGCAACTGCAACGAAACTGTAACTGCTAGTTACTTTTGAGTTGCATCTAAGTTTCTGCCATAGCGTCCGTTGAGACACATGACGCGACCAGTTTAAAAGTTTCAAACTGGTCGCGTTTCTAACTGAACAGGAGTTTCACAGGCGTAAATGAGAAATGAAAAAAGGGGAGAACAGTCCCGTACCTGCATTTTTCATACAGAACACTAACATAACTTTTCTCCTTCCTCCAGAGGGCGAGATAGACATCGGCGCGGTTCTTGTCGCGGAGGGCTGGGCGGTGGAGGGCGCCGCGCCCGCGCCCCGCGCGTCACACACCCCGCAAACGCCCTTCGGGGACCTAGGGAACTCCAGGTATAAACTACATATTTTTATCTTTATTTGGTAGTCGCCAAGTTGAGCGTTTGACCACAGAATAATAATAAGTACTACGTACAGAAGTTTTACTTCGCGAAGGTATTTAAAAAAATGTATGCTCAATGTCATTAACAATATGGTGTAATTTAGCCTGTCTCAAGAGTCAAGCACCATTTTGTTGACAAACGTCAGTGATCGGCACTGCGCCGAAGCTATAGGGCTGACTTCGGTAAAATGATGTGACGTGAGGTGCCAAACTGCGAAAAATGGCGGAGGAAATACATGATTTAGCATGAATTATCCAGAATTATCATGAATAATATTAACTACTTATTTACCTCTCAGTGTCTTGAGGCAACTTAAAAAAGTACATTTTGTGTTTTTATTATTATTTAGGCATTTAAATACTGCACAGTTTTTAGTACACCATTTTCTTTATTTACTTCCATCATACACAAGATTACGCGTGCGTGAATCAATGTTCGTGAGTATGTGAGGCCTTGTTGAATAGTATCCTGTAGGTGGGCCATCGTGCGTGTTTTGTTTTCGATGTAAACTCGCGGAGATGAACAGGCCTGGTTTGACGCACACCGCGAATAGCGTTTAATAGGAAACAATAGCCAATAATAATAATAAGCATTTACCTTACCGTATCGAATTAAAATGAATTGAAAAAAGTTTAATTTAAATGGTCAATTATTTTAAACTGTATGCAAATGAAATAAGATTCAAAAGCAGTCTTCTGAAGTTTACTCCTCTTTTGTTCCTCTGACTTATTTATTACGTGACTTGCAAAAAACGTCTTTTTAGTTGAGTTATTGAAGATCATGCTGTGAGATAATCCTGTAACTTTGTTCTTTTATACAGGGTACTGGGCATGTTGAATCAAGTCGGCCCGCGGTCGTCGTCGCTCCCCAAAGATCACAAGGACGACGGCACCGAACAGGAAAAGGCGGCTAAAGACAAACTAAACTGTAAGAATATTGATAGAATGATTCAGTTGTATATTTTTTTAGGTAGTTTATTCGAAAGGGTTTAAAAGACCATACTACTTATAGTTCTTGCCTTATGGTCTTATTGTGGACAGTAGTAACTTTATGGAGTTAAAAACATTTTCAAAAAATTATACGTCACCAGCAAAAAGATACTAATTTAATTACTTGCCCCAATATATGTCACAGTTTTATGTTATGTTTCAATTTCTTGATGCAATCAAAATTAAGGTTTGTCAGGTTGCTGTCCTAGTGATCTTTGGCGTTATTGAAATGCTTCATAATGTTTTTATTTCACTTCAAAATCGTCTCAATTTTCCCCAGAAAACGACAAGCTAACATCATCGATATCACTCGCGTCCGGCCTCGAGAAAACCAGCCCTAAAGCGGTGTCAAACTTCGACCTGACCTACCCAGATATCAAGCCGAAACCCGTCAACGGTTCCCATGAAGAATTCCTGCAAACTGAGCGTGTATCCGAGATTAATAACTCTACGGACACTTTAGTACCACAAACGCAGGCGCAGAAAACCGGTGATGACTTCAAGGCGAATATGAACAGAATAGATTCCCACCATAATAACTTAGAAGCACTGGGCAGGCAAGAGGCGCATAAATCGTGAAGCAAGTTAAGTAAGTCCTCCTTTTGTGATGTGAACAGATCGTCTGATAGAAAATGGTCTGAAAAACTTTACGATGACTTAGTTTTTCTTAAAGTAAACACGGATTGAATCAAATAAAAATTAAATAATTTTTCAGCTACTCCTTTTTAATTCTTTTTGACTATTACATATTTTGGATTTGTTTGTTTAATTCGTGTCTATTGACAATAAACGTACAAGTTTCAAAGTACGAATCTGCCGTCCAAAGAATTTAAATTAAGATGCAATCGTAATGCAATTTAGGCTTATTAAAGCTTTGGGCGCGAAAGTTGTTTTAGAATTTCTAATCGATTAGGTTTGTGATAAAAAATGTGACACGACTGAATGGAAGGGTATGAGGACATCTCGTTTGATTATACTAATTACTAAAGTATATCAGTATTGGCGTGGCGTGTCGTATGTTGGAAGTGTGTCTACGGCCTAACGTTTTGACCACTGCACAGTGCACTTTATACACCTAAAAATATTTTCTATCCCACGTTCTGTTAGAATTTATGACCTCGATTTGTAATTTCCTCAGCTTTAAATAAATAGGTGTAAGGAAAAAATATCGTTACGAATCTTTTTGTCTATGGACACGCCATAGACTGTAATAGTCTTGTTTGATTCATCTTTTGTACGTTCCTACAAGTTTATTGTAACTACAAAATGTTTTGAATTTCGCAACCTTAACAAGTGTATTCGTGAATGTGTATTTATTAGGCATTTTACCTTTCTAGTATTTGTGTTTTATTCATTAGAAATTTCGTTATTTCTACTCATTTAATGGCAGTCTATTTACATTGAATAGAATCGCTCATTCCTTCATTTTATGTTCCTTCTCGACTTCGAAAAGGCAGTGTTAATGCCCGCTGATATCGGTTCTTTTCTAACCATAGAAATTAGACGAAGACCGACGTATTGGTGACGTCATTATGCTGTAATATGTAGTTTTGTCACGTGATTTTTCCTATTCATTTAGTGTGCTCCATATGTAAATTAAGTTAGCTTTTTAGTCTTAATTCGTTAATTATTTTGAATCAGTAAAGTACTGATAAGTGACGTCATAACCTACTGTTTTTCACGCGAAATCTGTAGAAATAGAATATCAAGTTCTAGTGAATTTACACTGTAAGACAATATTAACTGATACAACTGTCTGTGATTGTCTAACAATATTTTACGGGGTGAAAATTCTCTTAGTGAAGCCTGAAACTACGCGTTCTCCAAAATATTCGTTCGTTCGTTCAAATATTTTTTATTTAAAAGTTAAAGACACAAAAAATATAATTGCAGGATTTTGATATGTAGTAAGCTTTACATTTTTAAAGTTTAGCAATACCACTGCTTCTGTTTGTATAGAAAGAGGCGGTTCATTGAAATGAAAAAAACAAATCTTGATGTGACTTTTGACCTTTAATAAACGGTAACTTATAATGTAGAATGATACATGAATAATTCGGCTTCGTTAAGATTTATTTTACACTCTTTATATTCGAAGGCATAGCATTGCTTTAGTAGTGCTCGGTATTACTTTACTAACAGCATTTGTAGGCATAGTATCATGCTTCGAAATAGTGTGTATCTATATATATAAAAATGAAACCCGTTTCGCGTTGTCACGGCATCACGTGTGAACGGCTGAACCGATTTCGATAATTCTTTTTTTTAAATGTTTGTGGAAGTCCAAGGATGGTTCTTACGGAAAAAAATATTAAGAAAATCTCTACGCTAAGGCGGTACGAAGTTCGCCGGGTCAGCTAGTTTTGTATAAAAACAGACCAAGGTAGAACAATTATAGAATACTGTATCTATAACATAACCCTTGATGTCTTTCTGTAGGCTCATATACAATTAGTATAATAAATGTTGCCTTATATTTGTAAAAAATATTTTCTGCATATATTATAAATGCAATAATATGTGTATTCTTACTTATTTTCTGTGGGAAATTTTAGCATTTTGCAAAATGCGAATTGATACATAATGATTTATGTAGAAGGAGATATAGGTTAAATAAAACAAACCTACAATGGTTCTGTTTTCATAACTGTTGTGTTTAGTTTACATTCTTGTTGTTAGTTGGTTCGTTATTTACATTTTTACTTTGATCGTAGATGGATATGTATAATGTAAACAATTTTAAGTACACTCATATTATTGTTCACATTTTGTTAAGTATCGCGTGGATACTACGTATTCTTAAATACATTACATATTAAAATACATATTATACATCGGCATTGCTTTGAAATCACCTCTTTAAATTCTATTTTCTTAATCTGCTTTGTATTTTACTTTCTAAAACAAATGTCGGGTTTATTAAAGGTGCTATCAACATAAAAGTACATAAAACGTACGTTTATTTTATTATAATTTTTTACTATCTTTTAGGAACAAGTATAAAACTTCTTTCATATCGTCAATTAATTTCAAGCATGCTATGGTAAAGATTTATACCTACTTATGAAAAGAATCTCGGTTCTCAGTTGTCAATTACTAAGTATTTTACAGTGTGATCTGTTTATTGTATTCCCATACTACTTCTTCTATACATACTATTGTTAGAAAAACATGTCTTATTGTACCCAAGCGTATCATTGCGTATCATGTAATATTTTACGTGTACATTTTAGTAATATTATGTGCTATTGGTGCCATACCTACCAGTACAAATGTTTTATTTCAAAGTATTTTGTCGAGTTAAATTATTTAGTTGTAAGTTTTTTTCCTGGTAACTTTGCTGTTTTCTACGTCATATGTTAATAACACACTCGAATAATATTTTTTTATTATTGCAGTGAAGTTTGTAATAATTTTATAATGTTGTACTTAGAATAAATGTTTAATTTGATAATCTGAATCTTTTATTGCACAAATACCTAAGTATTTCCATTAATAAAATCTATACTAATCTATACTAATATTATAAATGCGAAAGTAACCCTGTCTGTCTGTCGCGCTTTCACGCCTAAACCACCGAACCGATTTTGATGAAATTTGGGCATTTGAGTCCCGAGAAAGGACATAGGATAGTTTTTATCCCGTTTTTTGAAACAGGATAAAGTTTTTCTGTGATAGACAAAATTCTACGCGGGCGAAGCCGCGGACAAAAAGCTAGTCTTAAATAATATTTTGTAACGCGAGAGACTCCATTTAAGTAATCACCTCCAAAATACTTATTTTCCCATATAATAAAACATGTACCTCGTTAGTGATGGAAGAATCCATGTTCTTTTGTATTCAAAACAATACTTTAAAGATGACGAAATGATTACGGGGTATTGTTACATTTTCTCAGTACATTAAAACAATTACACCGTTTAGGAAAGCATACCGGACTTTCGACGAGCTGATTCGCGGGTGATCAATGTAAACAGTATTGTCGACGGTGAAAAGTACACGAAGCGACATAAAGTCTGTGCTATTTGTGGCATTAGTTGTGGTAACACCATAATAATATGTCAGAAGTGGAAATGGATCAGAGCCGTGTAGCATTCCCGTTCTGCTCAAATTGCCCAAATCCAGAATGTGTTATGTTATATTCTGGCAAAAAGACAAAAAATTACGAATGCTTTTGTGCACACACGGAAACGTGCACCGGATAAGAATGTAAATATTTATCATCATTACTTCAACCAATGGCAGCTAGAGCATATTATTGTTGGACTTAAGCCCACCAAGAAGAAAAGAAAAAGGCATGATGGTTTCCACAATACTTTTGCTAACACGATGTCCATTGGAGAACCCGTATCTGTACCTTTCTAGTACCGAACCCAAGACCTTTCGCATGCCGGCGACTAATCTGTCCGCTGAGCTGCTAATTTTAAAGAATAAAACATATTTTGAGATGCATTTCTTATATATGCAAAAAGAGTCATAACAAACATGGGTTATCTAACATTATGGTAAATAATTATGTCGCTGACTGTACCAACAGTGCGTCACAGAAAGTCGCACAAAACGTGAACTCGGAACAAATTATATCCATTTGCGTTTTGAAACGGTTTCGAGCAACACGGTCGTTACTATGAAGCCATAATTCACTTTGGTGTAAGTCATAAGAAAAATCACATGTATTTTGTTAATAGTATTTCTATTTTGATAAATATACGCGAAATTTCACACCCTTGTAAATCTCAAACATACCGTTTTGCGTAATATTGATCAAGATCTCTCCTCCATGTTTATAACTTTGTCTTAATTGTTACATAATTTAATCATCATCGCTTCAGCAAAAATGGTTTTATGGTTGCATTATGCCACATAAATAAATGATATTTCTATACCAAATTAAAATAAAAAGATCTTAACCAACTTACTTAATTAAAATATTTCTAATGCCCTAGTTAGTAAACCCAATTCTGTATCTGTTCTACAAAACTATCCCAAAAACTAAGAGAAATAGAGACAAAAATATTACTGAAATAGTATTGAGAAGGCTGCGTTACATTACTGAAAGATCAGAAATAATCAGTGATTATTTTTTACTCATTGCCGTCTGTCAATTGCGCCTCAATATCGCAACGACTTGTTCCGAGACGAATTATTGCAATCGAAAGTGTTTTGCAGATTTACGCATAAAACAATTACCTCAGATCTGGTTCATAATCGTGGTCTATGGGATACCAATGGCTTCCTCATTACTGCCGGCCGTTAGATAACTGCTGCAGTTAGCGATCTTGTATTATTAGTAAGCGTTTTAAACATGGTTATAATGAGTTGCATGCTTTGAAATGAGCTATGCTTGGAGTGTAATCTATACCTTTGAGGCAGGGATGTTACGGATATCCGTAGCCGTAACCGAAACCGATTCAAAGTTTTGGATAAAGGCGGAGTCTAAATCTTAATATTTTTAGTATTGTTACTTGTATGGCATCCCCTGGCACCATTCTGATATAGCCGCCTGTTTTACCTTTATAATAGGTAGGTCATAATGTTATAGTCACGTGCTAGGTATTATCACTATGCGGTTTAGTTATTACGCAAATAGCGAACAGATAAATCTGTGCTTTATTTAATTTATACATATTATTGATACTGACTATGAGAATGGCTATGTGGGTCGCGCAGCACCTTGCTATTGTATTTTACCTTTTTAAAATTCTAATATCCGTAACCGAAATTGTCCGAAACTTTCGGATAATCCGAAATGATTTGCTATCCGTAACCGTAACCGAAACCGGTATAAAAATATTCTAATATCCGTTACCGTATCCATAACCGAAACTTCATATCCATAACATCCCTGCTTCGAAGCCTCAAGAACGAGAAAAATCAAATAGCTTACATTACTGACAAGCTAAATTGGCAGTAATGTATTTTCATACTGCCATTACCTATGGCATTACGATTGTATTATTTTTATAATCAGTGGAGTAATTTTATTTAAAATGTTGCGTGAATTAAGTTGCGTAAAGCTTTACAATAATTTTAATTAGTTTCGTAAATTCATTACTTCGTAATACTTTACTTTATTTGTTGCTGTGGAAATCAGTTTATGAGAATAAGATAAGATATTATAGCCGAGGACAGTGTATTTGTCTAGACTCCAGATAAAAATGGACAAACCGCTTTGATCTAAAGACATCGTTTTCAGCGTAGGATTTGTTAAAAACACATTGAACTTTATAGATATTATACGAATAGTTCTAATTATTGGACCTAACAAGCTGTTTTATGAGCAACTTATATCCTTCCTCAAACCTTTTGTCAGCCTTTGTTCGCATAGTAGGCAAGTTTCCTTTCAGTTTGCGTTTAGAGAGTGCCTCATCGACTAGGGATAGACTTGCTGCCTTCGAATAATGAAGGCTTTCTGGTTTGCCGGGCCCGAGACTTTCTATAGGAAATCTAGATATAGGTGATACGCCGGCTAGGCTAGAAACGTGGCTGGATAGGTTGCGAAAGTGCCACTGGGTTGGGTGTAACTCGATTTGGAATAAATAGGTGAAATACATATGTACTAATACTGCTTATCTGGATGTAGAGTCATGCCTGCCCTTGGTTTATTCAGTAGGTACGTATACGAGACTAAGTAGGTACATTACTTATCAAAATAAGTGGTACAGATGGTTAATTATGAAATGTAACACTTTTGTATTCTGTATTTTTGGACAGTATTGTGTCCTAAATAAACAATTTTGTTTGTGCATTAATGAACTAGAAAATTAAAAACTGTGCTGAGAGGATTTTATTTCAAAAATACCTGTCTCTAATTGTTGCAATGTCTATGGTAATAGTTAAACAGAACAAAAGTTATGCAACAAAAAATCTGAAAAAATATTTAATTACAACTACTTCTAGATTATTTAACGGTTCATAACCATAAAAAATTGTTGATAAAAGCAGCGAATGACGCTGATTTGCATTTTGGTGTGGCAATTGGCGAATTCCAATGAATGCGCCGATTATTGCGGTTACCTAACATGGCTATTGGAGCTTGAATGC